TAATATACATATTCTATAAATAATACATTATATGTACTTATAAATAATATATAATACACAATTATATATTATAAATAATATATAATACACAATAATACACAAAATATATTATATATAAATATCTATTTAGATATATAAATAATATATATTTAGAGTAATCTTAAATATATTCAGCAAAATCCCCACTGGGAGTTTCTGCACCAGCATGGGACTATACAGGGACACACAGGACTTACTCATTTTTCAACATAAAATAAACCACTCAACTTCATTATAGAAAGGAGGTTGAAGAGTACAGTAACATAATAAATTCTCACCACATACCTTATGAATGTAATCACAGGACAGCAGCAGCTTAGGGACCTTCTGATTTTCTTCCATTTCCAAAACTCTTTGCATGCAGCTGAGGGTGCTGAATGCCCCTCTCTTCCAGGTGGGGAGTACCCAGGGGAATCCCCACACCAGCTCAGGTGTAAGTTAACCACTGTACAGGTTTTTCATGTCACCATGCCTGGTGGCGAAGCCCCAGTGCTAGAGACAGCTGGGTGTGTGCACAGGGCCACGTGAGGAGCACAGGCACAGCCCTGTGGCCCTGCCATGGCTTGTGGCAGCTGAGCAGCACATTTCCATGGAGCTCCTGTTGATTTGAGGATGTTTTACCCAAACATCTGTTTGCAACATGAGCTTGCTTCCTTAGGTTTGCTCAGATCACCTCCCCAAGGTTCTTCAGGAATGAGAGAGGCTCCTTGAGGCAAGGAGAGGTTGGATGCATCGGAGCAGAAAATAAACTTAAGGCATTCTGAGCTGCCCCTCTGAAGGTGCAATCCTGCCCTGCAGTAGTCCAGGAAGGCTCATTGCCCAGATTCCACACAGATAACACTCTTCTCATCTATTTTTTGCTTTCTGTGGGTAATACATAGCATGAGAAAGCTCTATTCTCTGGTAGCCCTCTAGATACTGCTGTGACATTAACAACTTTTTCATAAGATAGATTTGAATCATGACACTGGAAGTCGTCACATTTTCTTTGACCCAAGAAGATTTAAAATGTAATGCTCTGCAGCTTAGCAAAGTCTGCCTCTTTCATCAACCATTATTCTGTGCTTGCAGGTAGAATGTCATCCATACCTGACCCAGGAGAAGCTGGTCAAGTATTGTAAATCCAAAGGGATTGCTGTGACGGCCTACAGCCCCCTGGGCTCTCCTAACCGCCCCTGGTAAGAGAGCACTGCAGCCTTTCTGAACACAAAACACTGCAATTGAACTAGGAAGATTATCATCATTATTATTACTATTATCACTATTGTTATTATTAAATTGGGTAAATGATCTAGTTAAAGCGAGAAAAGCTCTGTTGTCTTGATGCAGATTATCACATGATGTAAGGCTCCTACAGGGAAGCCATCACCTTTCTACTGCCACCATCTCTGTTTTGTAACAGGGCTAAGCCAGGGGAGCCCACACTTATGGATGACCCCAAGATTAAAGACATTGCAGCCAGACATCATAAAAGCCCTGCCCAGGTAAGTTGTCAGAGCAAACCATCGCTCCCCCTCAGATGTCTTACAGGCCAATCCTAGCAGACGCTGCTTTCTCTAGAGATCCATTATAATGTATGACTCTTCTTTTTTGAAGAGTCTCTTCATATCTGAAGAGTCAAATTAATGACTCTTCATTCTGCCCAAGTTCTTAAGAGCATTCATAAAAATTATCAGCTAATTTTCAAGGATGTCTTCAGTGCCAACTTTTGGGTTGGACTGATCAGCAATGGCACATGCTTACCTCACGTGTTCACCTTCCTAAATTTTTATTCCTTTCTCCAGCTAAGTTATTCTTCAGAGGAGTCCTGTAATTTGGAGATATATTTGATTGCCTCCAATTTGCTCATGTTCACAAGGAATTATTGAAAGCTGCTTGATTATTGAAGATTATTTTTTTTCTCTATTAGTTTGCTAGTCACAAATTAATTGTTGCCTGGGGTATGCAGAGACTGCACTTCAAATAAAGCCCCATGTTTACATGCAATCAAAGACAATCGTATTTTAAGACAGGCAGAGCAGGATGAAAATATTTTATGCAACATTTGGGGGTTTTTTTGGGGGGGTAAAAGTTTTAAATTCTGTAAATATGTTTTTTCCTTTTATGGACTTCCAAAAGCTGAACCTTTGTGAGTACTTAGCTGTGAGCCCAAAATAATCTGTAGTGTCATTATGCTCACTGAGTCTGAGCACTCACATAATACAAGCCAGAGCATCATTTTTCTCCCCTTGCTACTACCCTAAACAAAACCAAAGCAAATCCTGCAAAAGCCACAATGTAGAAACAACACAGGCTAGAAAAAAATATGGTTGGCAGTCTTCTGTCAAATACATGACAAAATCCTGGCATATCAAAATCCTGTGTGCAAAGTGGCAATCTTCCAAAGAGTGAAAAATAAGTTGTAGAGTAAAAGAAACTAAAATCCACAAAATGTGTTTGAATATATTTCCTGGGATCTCAGTGTTCATCTCCTCCTTGTTTTTTCCTAGGTGCTGATCCGCTTTCTGGTGCAAAGAGACATCATTGTCATTCCGAAGTCTGACAAACCTCACCGTGTTGAGGAGAACATGAAGGTGAAGTGTTTCCCTTGGGAAATGCTGCTGCCTGGTTTTGTGCAGGATGGGCACCCACACCCAGAGCCCCTCTGTGTTTCCAAGCTGCACCTGAGGCACTGGAAGGGGGGTACAGAGATTTGAAAATCTGGGGAGAAGCATTTTGTTCCTGCCGGGGGAGAAATGAGTTACACCAGGGCTGCCCCAGGTTTGGACTTGCCCTTGGGGAAAAGGTTAACAAGTCCTTAGGGTGTAAAGGAACAAGCTGAGAACAAACACCAGACCTGTGAGAGTTTGTCTCACTGTGAGGCTGTGGCTCCCCTTGGCACTGAAGTTTAGCTGGATGTTTGCTCATAAGGTGTGGCATCTTATACAATACCTCTGTATTGCTTCCAATCCATGGTGAGAGGGTTTGGAGTTACTTTTCCCATGAACCCCTAAAAATAACTCTTCAGATGATGGCCTGTGAGGCAACTATTTGCAGTTGATACCCAGTAGCCCTCTGTCATAGCAGAAAATTTACCTCCAGTTCCAGCATTTGTGACACATCCTGAGCCCCTGAAGTCTTCTCTGTGTGCATTACAACCCAAAGTGCAGTGGTGTTGGAATTCAGCCACCCAGAAATATAAGACCTTGCTATGAGCAGCACCTCAGAAACAAAAGGACTGTCTTGATGACTTCAAGGGTTCTTATTTGCCTGAGAAATAAGAGAGTTGCTTAACTGTGCTTAATGCATTCCTACCTGAAGTCCTAAGTGCATGAAGCACACTTAGGAGCTAATTACCCACAAACCTAACTAAAAGGAGCTTTTATTTTTTTCTCTTTTCCTGCTAGGTATTTGATTTTGAACTGTCCAAAAAGGAGATGGATGTCATCCTCAGCTTTAACAGGAACTGGAGGGCAGTTCCAGTGACCCAGTACGTTCCTTATCATCCTTACTATCCATTTGTCCTATTTCTGTCTGTATTTCCACACACCCCATCTTGAAAATACACACGACCAAAACCAAAACTTTAAATTTGAATGAGGCATGTCCTGGATCTTCAGGAGGGACATTCATTTGGAGTGTTCTCTCCAGCATGTTGGTGTTCCAGGGGCTTTCTCCAGGCCTGTGTTCGGTTGAATTACATCTGCAGAGTGCATTGGCATTTGGGGAGGGAGGCTGCAAAGGGAAATGCTGCCCAGGATATTTTCTGAAGTGCTTGAATAATGTCTTGTCTTTCTCTTTTCAGAGCTGTCAACCACAAGGACTACCCATTCAAAGCAGAGTATTAAATGCAGGAGGTTCCTGCAGGACCTCCATTTACCTCCTTCCAGATTAGATGTGCTCTGCAGCTTCATCTTCATTTCTTCTTCTGTACCTGATAATTGTTGTGAGCAGTTACTTTTTCCTCCTTTTTTTTAAGGAGGAGACCACTAACTGATACAAAAATGCAGCAATAAGGGTGGGGTTTTTGTAAAGATGCTTAGCAGAAATCTGGTTTTGATTAGTAGTAAAAAGACAAGGTCTTTTCCTTTTCCTTCCTTTTTATCTGGGTAATTAGAGACATACTTAACAAAAAAAACAGGGACTTAAATGTTATATGTTACTTCCAGTGTGGTCAGTCATACTGGCTCATGAGTCACTGTCAAAGAATGCTCTAATTACATTGCTTTTTTTATATATTTGTGATTTTCATAGAGTATTTCTAATGCTTTAAAATTTTATATGAATAAAGTTTATCAACCATAAAAGTTGAACAGTGTAGTCCTTAAAGTGTTTTATATAGTTTTTCCAAAGTCTGGGGTTTTACAAATTTTAATACAGATAGAAATAAGTTTCTATAATTTCTGCACTAGGACATACAGATCACTTTGTGGCTTATTCTTCAAAACAAGATTGAGCTCTAGGAAGGACCTAAAGAACAAAGGTTTCCTCACACAACCCTTCCTCTGAACACCCAGAAATTGAACTCCTTTGTGATTCCTGGGGACAGCTGAAGGCAGCATCATGGGCAGGGATAACTCACAGTAAAACCCAGCCAGCTGAACAAAGGGCTGCCTCCATCAGCAGACTGGGAGTCTCAAATATAAACTTAGATTTTTGCAGCTCTGCTGGCAGTACCCAGGACACTACACTCAGACACAGGCTGGCTTTATCTAAGGAAAGCACAGAAAAGACTTTTCTTAAAAATCACCAAAGCAAGCCCTGAGACAGCCTCACAGTTAATTGCTCTAAAAATACATTCAAATTCAAGTATTTTCATATTCAAATTTTTTTTTTCAGATTTTGTTAGGCCAAAGCCAGTCTGGTTTGTGGCATCAGGAGGGACATCCTTATGGGTTCTTCACCTTATCTCACAGGGACTCAGCACAATTCCTACCCCACTTACAACAACTGCTCCATTCCTGCTCATTAACAAACGGGGCTGCTGATGGAAATATTCCATTTATTGCAGATGCAGTTTCAGAATACATTGTTTGAACAAATGGTTTTTATTGCAGCTATCAGATGCATTTGAAAGACTCAGAGGAGTGTTTACAAAACCCCCAAACGAAAACCACGACAACCCACAGACAATGTCAGGCACAGTTTCACCCCCTACAGATAACTTTGTGCATCCCTAGATGTAAACAAGATGGTTCAGCCAGGCAGGGGAGCCCAGCTTTGGGTTGGAATAGGAATTTTCACTTCTTGAGGAAGAAGCCAGGTGCTGTAAGACATGGAAGTGGCGATAAGGGAGCTCCTGGGGGTTCTGGTGCACAACAGAGCTGTTATCAATGTGCTCAGGGGCTGCCTGAGTTGCTCAGTTTATGCCACCCATACACTGTAGGATGAAAATGCTAAACTGTAGGGCATGTAAATCCAAACCAAGCTGACGTCCTAAAGCCATGTGTTTGCTATGTACAAATGAAAACATCTGTCAATAGGATATTCAGGGGAGAGAGGTAAAAAAGAAGCATGACAAAGATTGAGGTTTACTTCATTTTCTCTGGACCTGGTGTAGGGCACTGATGGATGGCAAGATTTAGTGTACAGTCATTTGAAACAAGCTCCAACTCTGTTTACATTTTTTCTTTTTAATTATGGTAGTTTTATATAAATTAAACTACAACGTTTTATACAAGTGACCTATTTTTGACCCTCTATACCCTTACCTTTTCCTCTTTTAAAAACTATACTTTCTTTTTAATTACCCATTACTGGGCAACTGACATTTAAATTTTTTAATACTTATCTCACCATACCTCTAATAACAATTATGAAATCTTACTATAGAAAAGTGTGTGATTTTGTCTTTATTTTTTTTAAGCTGTGATATTGGCTAATTATGTATGTTTATTGCTAAATATAATACTCTAGCACATATTAAAGCATTCTACCATTAGTAGTGCCTTCAGGCTAAACTTTGTAAAGCTATGTGTGTATATATATTCTAGATTGCATTCAATTACTAGTCACTAACAACAAAAAGAAATATCAGTACCGCTGTCAGCTAACATAATCATCCAAATTTAGGTATTAACTTAAACTAGAATGGAAAAATTGATACTTAAAAAAAAAGTATAAAACAAAAAAAAATTAAAACACGTTATTGATGCAGTATTTCTCATGACATGGGCAACTTACAGAAAATATTACATTGTCAACTAAAGATATTTCTTCCATGCCTTAGTCTAAAGTGCAGAAAGAAAAAGACTTCTGTATTACAAAAGTAACCATCGGTTTCATAGGTTTACTGCACACCTTTCCCAAGCAACTTCACTTTACATGTGTTTTGGGTTGACCTCTAAAGCCAGCTGAAATCACTGTTCAGATACATATTTATGCCTTTCAGTAGGAGAGTCTATATATTTCACAGCATGGGTTTCTTTAGGAATAAAGGCTCTTGTGCAAAGGCAGTACTATTCTGATGAATGTCTAGACTGATTATTAAATACAGTGCTAATATACATGGTTTTAACTGGGATAATGCAAAAAAAAGAGACATTTTGGTAAATAAACATAAATATAAAAAGAACAATTTAGCACTTTTTCCTTTTTTTGTTTTTTCCCCCAAACTGATTGGTCCAGCGTCTTTAGTGGCCTTCTAGGGTTCTTGTCTCACACCTGCTGAGAGAGAGACAGATTAAATATGGCTTGAAATAACCCAGACACATCTCTAGAACAGAAAAAGCTCTCTAGGATAACATGTAGGAAGGCAGGACAGAGCTGGGTGCTGCTCTGCTGCTGTATTGGGGTGGTTTCCAGGTGGACAAAAATCAGGATTTCATCTCTGGGGAGAGGCTCAGCAGTGTCCAAACCCCTGTGCTGGGACTGCTCCTGTGGGTGGAAAACAGCCCAAAAACCCCTCTCCTGACACTTTGGTTTGAAAAGGACAAGAGGGGCAAAACATTTCAGCTTTAGACAACTCTCAACCAAAAATAAAAGTTCACAGGTGCACCATACATCTGGCTTTACATAAAACCACTAAAAATGTGTGGGCACACGTGGAAGTATAGAAAATCAAGAGTTTTTCTCTATTTGATCATTTCACTCTTAGCAAAGAATTGAGGGATGTTGCAAAGCATCCTTAAAGTCATTAAATTGGACAGTGAACTTCCGTTCTTCCCCACTGGTCTTAGCCATACAATTAGTTTAATTGGCTTTATTTGGAGTGCTTTAAAATAAAAAAATTAAACATTTAAAAAATAAAATAAAAATAAATAAATATTAAATAAAATTTACAATAAAAATAAAAAGCTAAGACGGCTATTTTGCTGATTTCTTTCTGTAAGACCAGCTCGTTTTTCACCAACCAGTGTTTTCAAAATGACAACAGCATAACTATTTTATGCCCTGAAAAAGACACTAATGCAGAGCTCCAGCAAAAGCAGTTTCTCAACCATTCGTGTTTCAATTATATTTTAATGGAGTTTTTGAAAGGCAAAGGCAAAAAGGGGTTTCTGCATCAACATGAACTGCTGCAGAATTTTAAAACGTGGATACACCTATGCAAAAATGTGGCAATGTTTCTAATAATAGGTATTACAATGTTTGCATTGTATTAATATATGTACATCATCAAATATTATATCATTTTATTAAATACATATTATAATGTATCAAAAGTAATTATTTAATATTAAATATTAATTAAATTAAATATTGAATTAAATCATTACACATTTACATATTAATATTGATATTTAAATATATTAAATTTACTTTAATTATTAATTATTTTATTAAATATATTTTTATTAATTAGAATTTATTAAATAGTGTATGTTAACATTATATGCATAACATAATTATATTATATTATATTATATATATGTAATAATATGCATTAAACTATAGAAAGAGGTGGAATATATGATTACTTACCATTAGTCTCTGATTTTTTCCCTGTAGCTGATACCTGTTTGAAAAAGGAAAACCACATTATTAATATCCCATATAGGAGAAAATTGCTATTTATAACAGGAACAATAAAATCCAGGTATCTACACATAACACAGCTCTGCAAACCATGAATATGAAAGTGATACACTGCTTTCTGAACCTCATTGTGCTTTTTTTTATAGATAAAAAGGTGGATTAGTAACACAAATCCTGTAAACACCACCCAGACGTGTTATTACCTTAGAAGCAGCACCTGGCTTCTCCACTGACTGCTTCTCCCAGAGATTACGTTTGCCAGAGACATCTCCTGGTCTTAAATCCTGTATTTTTAATGTCAGAGAACAGAAACCAACATTAGTTCAGGTATATTTTCACTAGTTAAAGAAAAAGTTAAAATGTAACTTCCTCACGAGAGAAACTGAGGAACATCCACCAGAGGTAAACATTACATTGTCTATCAGTTATAAAGAATTATATTTCACAAAATAACTCCCCACATATTCATGTTTTAAGACAAAAAACAATCCTGTTGCATTTATTTTATATGGCACAGACTGGTCTTAACTCAGTATGTTCAACTTAGGGAGTGCAGTGAAGAGTTACTGCACCCTCAGATTTTTACCAAAAAAAAAATCAAATTTTTGCAGGAAAAAACCCCCACATTTTTTCAGGGAAGGTATTTCTCCTAGGGAGGAATTCAAAAGTAGCTTTTCTTGGTTATTTTAGGTCAAAATAAAAATATTTTATTTAAAAATTATGTAAATACAGATTTTGAGTTTTAATACAACAGAAGAGCAGATCTCGCTCTACATCTTTAAATACAGATTTCAGCACTTATCACTATAATCCTTCATATTAATTTAAATTTCCATTTCCATTGCATCCTTTGCAACCTTAGGATGTGCCAATCACTAGTCTGATAGAAAAACAAAAAACAAAACAAAACCCCAAAAACCAAACAAAAAAAAACTAGATGAGGTAAAGTGATTAAAGAATAGTAGTAATCTCTGAAAAAATGAGTGTATTATTGAGACTTTAATCAAAATTCCATAAAAACGTCAATTAGCTTCTTGGGGAAAAGGAGGGCTGCAAATGAAAATGAAAACTCCTGGGCAGCTGGATTGATATCTACCTTTGAGCATGGCAAGAAAGAGACTCAAACAATTTTGCACATAAATAATCTCTTTTTCAGGAAGCATTCAAGTCCTGCATGGCTTCCAAGTTTTGTACTGGCCATCCATAGGGAGCTAAGTTTTCTGCACATGAGAATTTCTACCTGTGAAATGCTCAGTGATGAATGGAAATGAGATTCATGCAAGGGTTTTTTGCACCCAGCAGAAACTCCTAGAACTGATCATAATTTGCAGCCACGCAGGGTTGCTGATGATTAAAACTTAAAGCAAATTCTGCTCTTTAAAAAGGCAGTTCAGTTGTAATAGAAGGAGGAAGCAATTTTGACCTTATCACAAAGCCATTTGCAGGGGACATCATCACAAATTCGTTTCCATACTCCTGAAATAATTTGGGATCTGTGACATTGGTTCACTGTAAAACTGAAATATTTGCTCTGCCTTGAATTTAATATATTTCTAAAACCCACAACAATCTTGATGGTCACAAAAACTTTGAACATTTCATTACTTTGGTGGAATGTGACAAGAGTGAGAAGTTCTTTGCTAAATAAGAAATTCTAGGCTTCCCTTTCATTTATCCTGACTAAAAAAAAAGTACAAATCACATATTATAGATGTATATAAACCTTCATAGTCAATGATAAACAGGTTTACCTGACCAACTTAGCAAACAGACCCCCAAAGAAGAAGAATAGGAGGAGGGCGCGTTCCTTCAAGCAGAGACATTGAAAGAAGAAAGAACAATCTATTGAGAAAGAGGGAAATCAAGACATAGATAGAAACAGTTGGCTGAGGGAAAAACAAGAGATTAGTTTTACACTGTCTGAAAGATGCAACTTTAAAGAAAAGAGAGAAAAATGTCGAGGCAGATTCTGTGGTGGACAAGCCTGCAAATTTCAAACTCCTCTTTGGGACAAACAGGAGTGTGAAATGAGAAAGCGTTTTTCAGGCTGCACTTTTCATATAGGGCAGGTGAACTGGTAGAAAAACACTTGGCAGGAAAACACTGCACAAGGATACAGCAAGAAATCAGTTCTTTAACAAAATCCTGAAGTTGAATCATTAACATCACAAACAATTCTCCATCATGGATATTTAGGTTCCTCATCCTTACCCTTCCCCACCCCACAGTTACCTCTTCCTGCTGTTTCCCACATTGCCAGTTTATTACCTGAACAGCAATTTTTGCTCTGATTCTTGCTGAACTAATGGCCAGGCTAAAGGGCTTTCATTAGGAGTTACATTTAGGCTCATAAAGAACTAAATTATTTCAGTTGTGTTTTAAAACATACTCGGAAGGTTTTTACAGGGCAAGGGCCAAACTCCAAGCGTGTGTATGTGTGCAGCCTGGGGTCTGTGCCTGGTGATTTCTAAATTAATAGTAAGCCTTTCACAATAAAGGCTTACCAGTAAATAAAGTCATCCTCTACCAGAGAAATGAGCTTTAGGGTGAGAGCTGCCCTGTTTCCTTTCCCCATTTTTGGCTACAAGGAGCCAACAGCCAGAAGGCTGTGAGCTGCCAAGAGGACACACAGCAGAGTTCCTCCAAAGGCCATGAGCTGGTGGAGGAAGCACCCCCTGCCCCAGGAGAGAGCCCACCTGCTGAAGAGAATGGCTGTTCCAAGTTTACTTACAGAAGGTTTTGGAGCAGGGGATTTGTTGCCCTCTGGGGTCTTGGTCAACCACTCGTTGATACGACTCGAGACACCAACCTTCAGCCCAGCAGTTTCCTGCAAAATGGTAAAATCCAACCAGAAGACTTTCAGAATGGCTTTTGGCCTGTTTATCATGGCTTATATTTAAAAGCAAAGCCAAGCCTGGGTTTAACAGAGAGGTCATCACTGAGCCTATGGCTTGCTCAGAGACATCCTGTGTGCTCTGAAAGTTTTGTCCCTTTGTATTACACAGTGTTGCTGCCCTCTAGTTTTCAAAAATTGTATACATGGACTGACAAAAACATCTCCACTTTACTGCTACCCCAGTATATACATGTCAGACATAAACATGCTGTTTCTACCATAAGCCCTAACTCCAAAAATCTTTAGCTTAATAGAAGAGACATCAGTTCAAATCTACTTTTTTCTCTTATTAAACTATTTTTTTTTCAAAAGAAGTACACAATAGAGAAGTGGCCTAAAATTTAAAAAATTAAATCTTTAAAATGCTAGAACAAATCACTGACATTTAATTGCTGTCATAATTCACTTCAATCCATGGCTCATCTTTTTGCCTATGATAAATGCCCAGCAACTCACATGAATTTATAGAAAGAAAATATTGCTTTAAGGATTTACACAGAAAAGATAAAGGTCTCACAAGTACTTCTATGAATTATCTAGAAAATATCATCACTATCCTGCCTATTCAAAGCTCTTCTGCTCCCCAGAAGAATTTTGCCCTACTCGAAGATTTTCTTTGTACTCTGCTTGAATGACCCAGATGTATTTTTCTAAGATATCTGATGTGGCTCTGGAATGTCTCATAACTGAGCTCAGTAGGTCACTGAATTCTTCCATTATACTCAATATTGCAGCCACACCATCTTGTGGCTTTCTGAGGCCTTCGGGATCCTTTGGGATACCCTTCACCAGTGATGCCAACAGGAGCAGACAGGAATATGAATGCAAGGCCAGGTCCTTAATAATAAGAGCATAATTCTTTACAATTATTAGGATAATTAAACACATACCTTATTTGGTGTTCCTGTCCCAGAAGGTGATGAGAAAACATTCCCTTTCTCCCACATGCTCTTGATGTTACGGACGCCCTCAGCTGGAACGTGCAGGTCGGAGGCTTTAGGTCGTGAAGTCTTTGCACTCTGGGGAAAAATTGGGGCCAGTTGGTGTTTGGCATTGAGAGCTGGATTTGCAGGGTGGTTTGACCCTGGGGAACGCAGCATTTCCATGTGGCTCTAGCACTGGTCATGCAAAGACGAGCAGGAGTACCCAGCTCAAGAGGTGCCACTGAGACTCTCTCCCCTTTTAGATTTGCAGCTTCACCCTTGATACAACCAGTTGGGAAAGTGGCACTCCCTTATTTTTATGTTTATTACCTTTCTAAAAGCCATGGCAAACCTTAGCTCTGCACACAACTTCTCCAAGGATTTAAAATCTTAGCTTATACCTGGCTCCTGGAAGCCTGAGCTAGGGAATCCCTTTGCAAGGGCAGGGGGAAAGGCTGTTCTGTCATTCAGCATCAGACTGCTCCATCTGCCCCAGAGAACTGAACCTCAGCATTCTAGGGGTAAATCTCAGCAATTAAAATATTTTTTAAAATGTGTTCTTTTGAAGAGTGGAGAATTGGGTGTGAGTTTTTGGCTGGTTTTTGGGGGGAAATGTGTCTTTTGTATGGTTACTAAAAACACTGGCCAAATTCTCCTCTTGTTCCTCTTTCTTATTTTCAGAACTCTTGCACATTTTACATATCATCAATTGGATGAGAATAAGAACCTGTATGAGTGATGCTTTGCCTCTCTCATTGCAAAGCAAGGTAGATTTGGCAACTTGTGGACAAATCAGAAACTCAGCAAAAGGAAATATTTCAAGTCAGACGGCAGCTGGATACTGTGGTGTCAATCTCCTATTTTACCTTGGACTAGGGACAGAAAAAGCCCTCTGTTCTGGCTCTTAGCTACAGTTGTCAAAATCATGTGGGGTCAAGTTCTGCATTTTAAAGTGATTTTGATTTCCCTTTTGTCGCTGCTTAACTGGTTCTCTGTCTTTGCCAAAGAATTTCACTGTGGGGTGGCAGCCAGCAGCACAGAGCCAGTTCCTTGTTCTCCTAAATCAGCTGCTAGGTCAGCTCTGCTCAGGATGACCATCAGCTCTGTGCTGACAGGGCTCTCACCAGCCAAGCAGAGGATGTGACTGTCACTCAAGATGCTGGCTGAACCCTCCAAAGCTACTGCCAGCTCACAAAACAGTAAATTACAGCGTGAAAGGGGAGATCCAAATCTGAGGTTTTGTTTAGATGCATCTCTAGATGTTGGTTACAGATGTGCCTCAAGCACTTTGTTCTTGAAGTCACATTAAAGAAGAGTTTGTGATCAAAAAATCCCTGCAATACTTGAACAGCAAAACAAAGGCTGATTAAAGGCCCCAGAGCCATTAGTAACCAGATCCATTTACTGGAATTTACTTACCCCAAGTGCACTAGTGTATTGCTCAAGTCTACTGTCAATCTTGGAGACAACTGCTGTTGTCTGGGTGGGCTTCATTCCACTGTAGGAAGTAGGGAAGAAAAAAAAATTAAGAATCATTATTTCCCCCACTTAAACACTGCTGTTTGAACACAACTTACTGTTTCTTTGCTTTACCTCTTTTGAGCAGATTTGTTCAAAAATTCTGTTCGCTCCTCTATCTAGAAAAGAGAGGAACAAAAGCTTTAGGTTTAGAGTTCATAAAGGGTCAGCCTGTGCAAGGCCAGCCTGAAACGTAATTTTGAATATCAAAAAAGTCAAGTTGAAGGAGATGCATTCCAACAGAATTTTCACAGACACACACAAAGGTTTTATAGACAGGAGCCTGTTATGCTACAGATTCATAAAAGTGGATATATTTTCTGCATGAATGTTTGCATCCTACACATTTCCTCAGTGCCTCATATGTAGCAAGAAAATAAATGAACAACACAGAAAGAAGAAAAAAGAGAAGAAGTCTATCTCATGGAAGGGATTGATATGCACAAAAAACTGTGTCATTCTCACATCTCCTACACAAGAGCAAGTAGGTATCTCTTGAGAAAGATAATAAAGTTTTTGCAAATTTAATAAAGTTTTTCTGAGCTGAGAGATCAGACTAGGCCAGGCTTGGAGCTCAGCCACAATGCCTCCTTACTCATGTCTTTGGAGTACACAATCAATTTGAATTTGGGCTCCAAAAACCCCATCAGTGTAAACTCTTCTCACGTTCAAAATACTGCTGAATCAGTATCTACAAGCTGCTATTATACAAATTGGTATCTGACATTTCATCATGATTTTCTACTTTGTAAATAGGAAACTATTGTGATGTCTCCAAGGAGGAAGACTCATGAAAGTCTCATGTGGCTTCTGTCAAATCTCTCAATACTTTAAAAACAAAAAACTCCATCCCTGAATAAAGGTTTAAAACATTTCCCTTTGGGTGGTGGAGAGATGGGGAGTGCATGCATCTATTTGTATTCAGGGTCAAGAAATATTTTCATCAAACTTCCCCAAGTCTTATCAACATTGCATTGTTCCACTTCTCATGTCAGGCTCTGCAGTTTAACTTAAAAGTAAAATACATGCAAGAAGCTCCAGGGGATTGAAATGATTAATAATCAGCCTGGCTGGATTCCTGGGGATTCCCCAGCCTCAGCAGGGGCTCTCCATTTCCAATTTACTTTAACCGTGACTGCTCTGGCATTCATGCCTTTAAAACAAGGCAATGACAGCCATTCCTTTAAATGGTTCTCTTCAGTGCCTTTAGCATCCAAGGCTATCCCAGAACACCAAACCCCACAGCAATCCCATCAAAGGGCATGCACAGTTTATTTCTCAAGCCCTTGCAAGCAGGCAGTTCACTTGAGTGCAGAATTTGCCAAAGCAGCTCACTGGAGGAGCTCCAGCTGCCACCCACCCAGCTCAAAGGCACCTTGAAACTCTAAAACATACATACAATTTACAGAGTCATTTCCATCACCAGTTTTAGCTGCCAAAACACGAGCTAAAAGCAGTCCTGAGTGCAATTTGCCAAGAACAAATCCCCTGTTCCAGTGGAAGAATGTCACAAGGTGGCAGCAAAGAACCGGCAGGAGCAGGAGCCCTGCACTCCCGCAAGGAAAGGTTACAGCTCTCACCCAGAGATGGCAATGCCACAAAACCAGCAGGGAAATGGTTCAAAGGTGGCCAAACAGACCGAGGACGGTCACTTAAAACACATGGCCTCACTTCTGCTATGGTACAGTAGGAGTTTCCCCAATGCTGACTTCTGGGTCATAACCAGCAGTGCAGGAAAATAATGAGTTATCCCCAGAAAAACATCAGTGAAACCCTGGTGGGCAGCAAGGACAAATAATAGGGACTGTCTCAAAGAACCAGGACTCAAGGCAACTGCCTAATAATTCATTTATAGGATCTTCACACTCTTTTTATCTGCAAGCAGGAGAGATGCTTCTGCACAGGCTCAAGTGGGCACTGGGGGAAGGTGGAAAGGAACAGGAACATTTTTCTTGTGGTTATAGTAAAAACTCAAAAGCGGAGTTGTTCTTTACCCACTGGTAACAGAGGTTCTCAGTTACCAGTTATCACTGTGTATTACTCAGTTATTACTCAGTTAACAGCTGTGGGATCAGGAAAAAGTCAGGGGTTGTTCAGAAGAGGAAAATGGAAAAGCAAAACCAGAAAAGAGTTAGGAAGAAACCCTCAGAGCTGAGCAAAGCCCTCTCTGGCTGGGGAAGCATAGAGGGATAAAATACCTTCCGCACATTTATGTGAGGATTTATTCTAGAATATCCTCCTCAAAAGGTAGCAGAAGCAGACATTGAACACACTTAGAGCAAACAAACCTCTACACACGTGTGTATTCAACATAAAAGTCAAACACATTTAGACACCACAGCAACATCTAAAGGTCATTTACCCACTGCACAGCACACAAACTCCATGCAAAGAATTTAAAATGTTTGGCACATACAGTAAACAGTATGACAAAATAGATCTGTAAAAGAAACAGGCAAAGCAAGGTGGTTAACATAAAATCCAAGATGTTTTCTCAGTTTTCAGGAAATACGAATATTTTTTTACTGCATTCATCTTATCATGATCTTGTTAAATAACTTGGACTATGTATTGCTGTCAGGTACTGAGAGTAATAATGAGATAGGACAGGACAGGTCTCTAAAGAAAAAATTGTCTCTGAAAAGTCCTATTTTCTGGGTTAGCTGTCAGCAATGCCTTGCAGAGAGTGCTGGCTGCCACATCAGCCTGTTTTCCAGGAGATATTTTCTCCAAAGACAGGGATTTGGAGAAAATCCTGCCATTGCTCCCTCCCCTCAACACCTAACTGCTTTTCCATTTCTCTAGTGATGGTGTTCACCCCCAAGAGGAGACTTAGTATTGAAATATCCTGTACTCTCCTGATTTACCCAGAGAATAGAATAAAAAGACTCAGTAACCTTCCTGCACAAAGGAAATATGAGGAATGAACTTGTCTAAAAAGCAAAATGATCAAAGATTTTTCAGGAAACACCATTCTTTGAATGCATCATGTTTTGCATTAACTAAATTAGGGAAAGGACAAGCTAGAGGCAGATGGGAGAGCAGCAGAGCTTGTTCCAGGTTTTGTCCTTATTAAAAAAAAAAACCAAACAAAACAAGGACAGAGGTTGAACAGAAGTTTGGTACCACTGCAGCCCACAGGGTGTCCACCCAGCCCTGAGAAATCCAAGCTGCTTCTGTCCCAGAGCTGGGGATGAACTTGGCCTGTATTTATTTGGCATGTTTCCTTTTCACTGTCCCCTCAGAAGGAACCAACCCTCGAGCTGTCACTGAGAGGACTCCACACACTGTGGTAGCTCTGCTGAAGTGTTGTCTCAGGTTTGAGGCAAATTTACCAGTTAAAACAACAGGAGCTGCCAACACTGTGATTTTTAGAGGCCAGACTAGCCAATCACAGCAGGTTTTCCTAAATATAAGCATACATGTATGTTTTGTCCATGTTCATGTATGCACATGTACATTTGGGTCACACATGGGGAGGAGCTGCACATCTTTGTGTCTCAGTTCTGGGCCTGCAAGCCCAGCCAGCCCATGGCCTGTCTGGTGGGCAGATGCAGCACCCATGGGATGGCAATATTCCACCCTGCTGCTCAGTTAAGCTCCCTTCTTCCCTTTGTTCTTGCAGTTCCCTTGGCAATCAGTACACCCTACTTTCCTCATGCTGGCCACTCCTATGAACTTCTTTTTCCCAAAAGCTTATCACATCAGGAAGGACAGGGAAGGAGTAAAAAAGGTGCTTTGCCAGATTGTTACTCAGGAGGAGTCAGAATGTGCACATGTATCGTGCATTATTTTTACACTGAGCCTCCCTTTTTTCAGTATTAATTCCAGCCACCCACCCACCACTGTGCATTTGGGATTCTCACATGACTCATGGCAGATCTGAGCTGATACATCCATCACAGGAGAAAACCTGTGCCAGATGCTTTACAAATCAAGAGATAACTTGGGCAGTGCCGAGCAGACAGTGAGAGAGCTGCATGCCAACCAGCTGAGACCAGCCTGGGAAGTCAGTCCAAATTCAATCCAAATTAAAGGTAACAAAATAGACTTTCTTCTCATAACTGGATTTTGACATCAAGTTTCACATCAGGTTAATAAACTCAGATTACTCTCCCCACAGCTCTTGACCACAGGATGCCAAGAAACAGTTTGGGGTGTGAACTTTTACAACATTACACATCCACACTGGCCACCCACAGACACTGGGCTGGAATCTGTAGAGTATCACCAATTTCTCAGAGAGAGAAACAGAGAAAGGAAAAAATGTGCAGAGCTCCATATATCAGTTTTGTAGCAAACAACTTCTACCTGACAAGACACAAAACCCAGCATAAAAAAATATACCTTGCTGCCTAACAACATTTTTAAAATGTCAGCTTTCCTCTGAAAATAGACTTATAGTGGTGCAGCATCTGTACAAAAGGTATCTGAAAGCTTTCAGCCTCCTGCCAAGTCCAGTGTTTTTTAACACTTTCCCCAAACTAGGATCTATATCCTTTTCACTTTGTGTTTTCAAGTACAATTTCCTCCATCCTGAGCCTTCTGTGAATTAAAGCTCCAAATGTATGTCATAAAAGGCATCTCAATAAACAGAAGAAAAGGAAGCCCTCCCAGGAGGGCTGGGAAGAAGCTGTAGATTTACAGTGTCTGTTATAGACATCATCTTTAGCAACCAAAATGGCAAGACCAGGTTTACCTAATCACAATAAGTCATGAAGCTCTGCAATCTTTGTTTACAACTGTGTGCATTCTGTCCCAGTATTTCACGTTCAAATGTTCAAAAACATTTGGACTCAGTATTTGCTAGAACTGGACCCAAATTTCCAGATTGGATCAAAGTGTAGCTAAAGCAAATTTTGTCCAAATGCAGTTTTTCACTCAATAGTTAATCTCATGTTTTAATCTCATGGATTTTTAATTTTAATCTCATGGAGTTTTAATCTCATGGAGATCCAGTTCATGGTTCAATGAGCTCCTCCCTGGTTCTTTTCTCTCCTATTTTTTCCCACTAAGTGGCCTTTTTGACAAATGTTTTGGGTTCTTAAATGACTAATAACACAAAATTCAAAGTTCTTTTCCTTATTGCAAACATTAATAGATCTGCAGTTTGAGATTGAGTTGAGAAAGCAACTGGACTGAATTCCAAAAAATACTCCCAATAATTTCAGTGGGGCCAGGATTCCTCTTCCATGCTGAAAGACCATTTAATTGATTTATCACACTTCTAATATAATATAGGCCACAAAAGACCATTTAGAAATCCTGCAGCAACAGAAGGGTGAGGTTTGTAATTTTTGTTATGTAAGAAAATGAAATCCAGCCCAGTACTTCTAGATGTTATTTTTAGGGGGATTAGACATAAGCTACAATTCCCATGCAGGTCAGTTACAATTAATGATGATTAGGCTAAATATGCTTAAGGACAAAGCAATCTGGCAAGCAAGACAATAACTGTGCATGTGGAAGGAGGGAGAGAACATTTGTGACTTAATGCTCTTAGGAGATCTTTTCCAACCTAAATGATTCTGTGATTCTACTCCAGCTCACAAAGCACTCCTATAACAAATTTAAAACAACACAGTATTACTGCTCCAAGCTTCAAAAATCATTTTCTCTTGGAGGTGAGGGTCCTTTTTGGAGATTCTTCATCAAGAAGAGACAGCTGCCAGTCTACTCTCTATTTCTAAGCAGGAACTCTAATTTTCAATCATCCCAATGAGTTCAAGTCTTTCAGCTAGAGGTTTCAGGTTAAGTCTATCAAAGCATTTTCCTGGGTTTGATTACAAGTATTTCAATGTTGCTGTTGATGTTTTTTATGTCCTGTATAGATGCTAATGGGAAGGTTACCTTGAGAGATGAACCTTTAGGACTCAAACATTTAAATGGCTTCTTGTCTTCAGACACACCATCTTCTGGCATCTTTTGGCGTTTCTCAGCAGCTTCAGCCCTTCTTTTTTCGATTTCTTCCTTCATCCTCCTCTTTTCCTCCTTGAAAAATATGAAGGTTTACTTGTTCTTTCAGAATCTACATCACCATCACAGGGCTGTGCAGCCCTGCAAACATTCACCAGATTTTCTAAAAACAGGATTTTATACCAGTTGAAACAGTTCAGTGATCTGTCTGAAATGTATAAAGGTGTTAATGCAAATCCATGCCAGGAAGACAATTAGAGTGTGCTACTCTAGTGGTTCCTCACAGTAAAGTCACCAAATTTACTGCCATAGAGTTCCACTTAAACAGAGAAAAAGGCTCAAGTTCAGTTTCTCTGTATTCTCATGTATCACATTGGTATTGTTCTCATGTCCCTCTACTCCGACACTCATTATGCCAAGGTTAATATTTAACATGAAAAAATCAGCAGGTGGCCAAGAAACCCAAGATTAAACGCTTGCAGATCTCCCTCCAGCGATGAGTTTTGCTTCACGAGCCACAAGTCAAACCAGAAGCCCTCAAAGCTACACCAGTGTGAGCACTGGTCAGTGAGGTCTGTGCAATCTTGGGGCATTGTGCAATCTTGGCATCTGCTGAGTTCTGCTGCAAAGAGCTCAGTACATTGAAGGAATTGGCATTCAGCTGCCAGATACTATCAGTATTATTCATTTACCATTTGTTTTCCAAACAACTAGGATTCCTAAATGATGCACCAGAGACTTGGAAATCCTATTTGTAGAATCCCTTGGCAGAGGAAGTACAAGAAAACAGATGTGTTGGATACTCAATATTTAAATAGACAAGAATATCTCCCTAATGAGATCTAGCCCATTGTAACTATATATAACATTAGCATTCCAGCCCATCTGCAGCAGATAAATTTTGACATGCGCTTTGTAATTCAATCTGTATAATGTACAAAAAAAAAAAAAAAAGTGGCTATAGCCCTGGCCCAAGATTCTGAATCCCCAAGAAGATAAAAAATTTGCAGCTATCTCTGAGGAAATCCTGACTCATAAAAACAGATTTTAGAGCCCTGCCTGTCCTAAGGCTAGAATGATAACATTTTTTCATACCCTGGGTGTTGTGGTGTCTTTTTACCCCTAATGATATGTTCTGTTATTTCCTAAGTTAATGGTTTGGTCCAAATTATACCCCCCCACACCACACTGTCAATCTACCCTGAGTTCCCTGTCAATCCCACCTGGTGCCAATGCCCTGCTTGGAATTCCCCTTCAGAAATCCCTTAAAGTGAAACCTCCCATTAGTCCACATGACCCCCTCCATGTCCATGTGAGGTCCATGTGGCCCTTCCCTCACTGGAAGATGCTTTTGTGAACCCTGCCCAGGATATCTCAGATTAGCTTCTGATTTATCCCCTCCTCTTGAACAGCCCCCATTTAAAAACTCCTCCACACCTGTGTCTTGTGTCTTTGGTCCCTGACCCTTCCATAGAATAAATCCTTTTGGAAACCATACTAAAGACCTCTCTGCTGTCCTTGCTCCTGCTCTTGAGGATTATCAGCTTGTGCTGTAGAGATAAAGCCCTACAGCTGTATCCCAGACTGTGCTGCTTTCTGGGAACAGCTCACTCCTGGCATGGAGCTGGGAGGTGGCTGAGGAAAAATCCAGCACTGCATCACCTGGATGCAGCATGTTTTACCTCAGGCCTTCACTAGAAAATGCTGCAAAAAGCTGTTGACTAACACAAGGAGAGTGAAAGTAAAATAGTAATTGTTACTATCATATTTTCTGAAAAATCCCTTAGCTAGGATTTTTTCCTCCTGGGAAGCCGAAAAATCTTAAGAGAAAAATGAAAACAATAATTACTTGGTTTGCTTTTTTTGTGTTTTGTTACTTTGGAATGTGGTTTAAACACTGTTTACCAACTGGCCATTGTTTGATTAGTTTCATGCGAATTGTTTTGACTTAATGACCAACCATGGTCCAGCTGTGTCAAGGCTGTAGAGAGTCACGAGTTTTCCATTAGTATCGTGTTAATCCTTTTGTAAGTATCCTTCCTCTATTCTTTAGCATAATTTAGTATAACATTGTTTAATATAATACAGTAACATCATCAATTAGCCTTCTAAGAACACAGAGTCAGATCCATCATTTCCTTCCTGCCATGGGTGACCCTAAAAACACCACAAGTAATAAATGGAATAAACCCAAGTGCAACACTCCGTACTTCACACTCACCTCCTCTCTGATTTTCCTCTCAGCCTCCTCTTGCTTCTTCTTCTGCTCCTCTTCCTCCAGGACTTTCCGGCGCTCCTCCCGCTTTTTCTTCAGCTCGCCCAGCTCTGCCGCCGCCTCCTGCTGCTTCTCCTTCAGCTTCTCCAGCTCCTCGCTCTCGCTCTCGCCCCGGCGGCGCCGCTGATCCTCCAACCTCTTCAGGGCCTCCGCGCCCGGCTTCGCCTCCTCCGCGGCGCCCTTCGCGCCGGAGCGCCTGGGAAGGCAAGGACAGCGACAATGGGGCCATGCTGTCATTTCAGAGTTTACCCTAGAAGCTCTAGTCCCCCCCTGAAGATTCCCTCCCAGGTGTGTCAATCACCTCTCCTTTCCCCTCCCTGCACTGTCAGTCCTGGAATTCCAGAAGGGCATCAAGGGATTGGCAGATTCAAAGGATGCCCTCTACCCCTGACCTCCTCTCCTGTACCTGGTTGGTGGCTCCCTACCCCATCCCTGCCCCTTTGTCTGGACACTTCCAGACAAAGCCCAACTCTGTGGGGGCAGTTCATTATAAAATAGCCCTAATTCATACCTAACAACCCAACAAACATTGGCACCTCTGCTGATGCTGCCAACCCCAATCTTCTACTCAGCTGATAAAAGGTCACTGAACAGGCTTCTTCACAACTTCATGGAACAGAAGAAGAAAAACAAAAATAGAAAAAAAAAAGAGTGGAAACTCAAATCTACGTTTTGCCACTAATGCCTGTCTCCCACAGGAAATGAAGCAAATGAAAACACATAAAAAATATTTTTAGAAAATCATTGTCGTTATTGATGATGTGACCCAAGTTTTGAGCAAGGCCAATTTCCTGCTGTTCCATCTCCATCACTGCCTGTCTTTTGGCCTGAGGTCAGGGTGTCTCCAGGGTCTTTTGAGCTGCATTTTATTTTGAGAAAGTTTGTTTTTCCCGGCAGAATCATGAGGGGAATGCTGAGATACAATAGCAAATCCCATCTGCCATGCTCGGATTTCTCAAAGTGCCTGGAGAGCTTAACCTTTCCATTGCCTGTGTCAATGTAAAAGAGGGAGAGAAATGCAGAAGGAGAAAAATTTAGATTTCTAACCTACTCATTCCTGGTTTCCTGCTGAAAGGAAGAACTTCATTTCTATTTCATTTATCCCATGCTTTTAGCAGGCAGGATCTTTTTAAATTAAATTTTCACTAGAAAATTGTTACCTTCTTTGAATTTCCCACTATAACCACAGCCTTAAAAAAAGAATATTTCCTTAAAAAAAGAATCAAACTGTGACACAGATTATAAAAAGGAAGGGGGGGAAAAAAATAAAAAATGTTATTTTGGCTAGGAGAGGCTTTTACCTAACTGGAAAAACACTTTTCTAGAGAAGCCATTAATTTCAATGTTTGCCTTGAAATCAAGAGAGAAAGTGCTTCTCTCTTGGACATTTGAGAAAGCACATAAAGCACAACTGGATTGTGCTTTATTCTGCTAATTAAAGATAGGTGGGTAATTGGAAATAGGTCACTAAAGTAAAAGTTGAGCTCAGACTAGAAAAATTGGAGAACACAAAATCTAGGATTTTGTCACTATTGGCCTCTGTGTAGATGTTAGAAATAAGGAAGCAAAGCTCCAGCAGAACAGAACCAAGACTCTTGTCTCTGCTGGGGGAGGAAAGCCATTTCCATCTGCTTGCAGAACTTCATTTTGTTCCTGCAGCAGAGAGGGGTCAGCTCAGAAACTGCAGAACCCAGTGAGCACCTGAGCCACTGCTGATGGTGCCAGCCAGTTCCTCCACTCAGAGCCCCAGAGATGGCCCCTATGGCACCAGCAAGCCCAGTTCTCCCGTGGCACTCACCCAAAAGCATTCTCAGTGGGTTTCAGTTTGGAGGCAGGGGGCTCCTGTTCCCCGTTCTGCGCCTTCTTGCGATCCCAGACACTTTTCATTTCCTCTTTGGGGGCTTTACCTTTGTCATCCTGCGCAGAACACAGCACAAATCACAGAACAAAAACACAAGACACACCAAAAAAGAAGAAAAAAAAAGTCAGAATGAGGCATTCTAAACAACAGCTGAGAAATACAAATTTCTCTGCAACATTGTGATCTGTCTTCAAAGTGTTTATGTGCTGTAGCGCAGAAGTAGTCTGCAAAGCTCTAAACTGCGATCAACTGTCACTTTGTCTTGACCTGAATTCCAGGTCCAAACATCTTGAAAATAATATTATCAGTCTTCTAATAATATTTTTGAAAAATCAAGTCAAAGTTGGCTGTGGCCACCGGACCATGCCACCACACTGCTTCACTCCGCAACTGCATCCCCAACTCTTCCTCCCACTGCAGCATCATTCACCTCTTGCTTCTAAAGATTGTGGGTTGCCAACTCTCTGGGACTTGCCAACACTTTTTTGGTACCAGGTTCAGGGCATTGGTGCAATAAAAATAACACATAACCTCCAACAAATGTCAAGCTTGTTTGACAAAGTTTATGCTCTTTTCAGTGTCACAGCAGAGGGAAACTTCATTACTGCAAGAATAATGGCCAAAACACAAAATCATCTTGATATCAGAGCAAAATACTCTGATAAATAAAATCTTGCCTGGGGTTGGTCATGGGTAGCATTATCAGACATGAATATTTAAACCTGTGAAGAAGGAAAGGCTCTGGAAAACATGAGTAAAAATTCCCTTTATCCTTAAAAAAGCTTTGTTTTATGATTCTTAGTAGTAATCAAGAATATTTTGTGCATAAATTTAATTCTCCAGTATTTCTTCAGAGTTATGAGCTTGAAGTATTTATGAATACCACAGATGGCCTGACCCCAGCATGCTGAGTCATGGCTAGATGCTGGTAAAGGAGAAACTGAACTGATTTAAGTTATGCATCCTCAGGTAGAAATATTCTCTGCTAGTTAAGACTACCAGCCAAAAGCAACTTTCAACAGCACACGAAACATTTACCTCCAAAGTATTTATTTGCTTTCCCCAGCTCTGTGCTGAAGGAAGAAGAAATACCTTCTGTGTAGAATTCAAATGGGGACCTTTAGAAAATAAACACTTTGGGAGCCTGTTGCAATCCCATTTGCTAACTAGAAAGATAAAGAACTTCTGTAACTTTCCTGTCTGCAACACAGCTGCTCTTAAAGGTGCCTTAAGATGCACCTTGAAATGAAAAAGTAGAACACTGCTTCACACCCCAAATCAAAAGAAATTTCTGTTCTTCCTCATCAAAGAGGAAGAACATCCATTCATCTCAACTCTTGGAGAAGCAAAATCTTTGCCTACAAAGGATAAGTTCAGAGCCTTCAAAGCCAAGATCCTCCTAAGGCTGGTGCAGAGTGAAGCCCCAGAGTCAGAGCCTGACTCCACCTGAGGCCAGTTTGCTGCTCAGAGAAGCTGAGCAGTGGATGCCACCATGGCAGCACATGTTAGAAGTGAGCACAGGATGCTTAAATCACTTCAGCAAATTTTCTGCTGCTGGGCACAACCATCAGAGGCATTTACTCTGCTCTGAGAGCAGATTTTCCCATGCTATCCTTCCAACAAGGCCTGGCAGCTCCCTGAGGGACAACAGGGGAGCTCAGCTTCCATGGCCGTGCATTCTTTGGCCATGATGCTGCAAGAGAGGGCCTCAAGGAATGGTCCTGCTGGGCTGGGACAAGCAGGGCTGTTCATTTATCCTGCTGAATGCCACCAGACAGCAGGGTCATCATCTGGGCCTTCCCAACTAAAATGGGTGATCACGTTCACAGCAGCAATGTCCCAGCCCTTCAGCCCCACTCAGGGTGATGCTGAAACTGGCTGTGCTGATGGTGCAAGATTCCTTGTGCCAGGATGTCTGTCCTGGGGTTTTGGGAGCATAAGATTTCCTTTGCTGAGATTTTCATCAGGACCTTCCTAAGTCTTATTTAAAAAGCCAACCCTTCCAGCTGCCTTATGGATTCAGGTCCACTGGGGAGGGTTGTATCTCTTACATCTTAATTGAAATCTCTGGGAAAACTAATATTAAAACAATATAGCTTAAAAATTAATAGGTTAGGAAATAGCATTTCAGAGGCCAGTATGATTTATGACAATGTGTCTGCATTTGAGAAAACCATTAACACAGCTTGGTCTCTTCATTCAAAAAAGATGGTAAAACAAGATATTATAGAAACATTTCACATCTTTTGGGCTCAATCGTTCTCCTACTGATTTTAATACCAAAGCGGAGATTGGTTGGCAAAGAAGCAGCATCCTTTGTATCTCATTCCCAAGGAAGGCAACAAAAGAAATTATTTACTTTGTCTCACTGCCTAATTACAGACTAATCCAGCTTCTGCTGAATTCAGAAAGGACTCCACTTGGAGCAGACAGGTGATATTACCTGAACTGAAATAGCTCATGTGATAAATCTCACAAATCTTGATATCAAGCTAGAACATTACCAAAGGCATGGTTAACGAATTTCCAGATTTATATTTTTATTTTTATCTCTTTCCATACTGCCTCTTTTCTGTTTGATTTTTATGCTATTATTTGAGAGCTGAGATTTCTGAATCTTGAGTTTGAACACTTTCAGACTGAAGCAAATCAGTTACTGAGGTTGGGCAGATCTGGCAGATCTGATTCCCCACTTGGGCTCAGTTATTTGGGGAGTTAAAAGCTGTGGGCATCTGGCTCTGGGGCTCCCCTGTGGAGTCAGCTGCCACCCCCAAACACCATGAGAAAAGCAACTGCTGCAGCATGTCTGGCCAAACTGGAAGCAGGAAATACCAAGAGTCTCACATCATGAGAAAGCTTGGTCTTGTGAGCTTCTCAGGTCACTTTCAAGAACGAAAAACTGTGCAGAAGTTCAGAAAAAGAGACAAATTTTTTTCTTGCCAAATTAATCAAAAAACCTGAACTCTGAGGTCCAAAGCAAAAGCAAAACCTGATTATGCAGATACATTCTGTTCCCCCAGGATCTTGTTCATGGAATACTGGCATCCTCTCAGCTGCATGCACATTCAGAAAGAGACCTCACTGAATTTGTGTGTCCTGAAAGAGGGGGAGAAGTGGAGCCTGATCTTGCCTGATCATCAAAATTTTTTTCACAAGAAGCAACAACTGAGATTTTTCAAGGCATTTTGAATGCTCAGGATGGGTATTAAGCACTGCACTAGAAGTGGGATTCTATTAAGTTGTCTCAGCTTCAGCATCCAAAGATGGAAACACTAAAAATCACAAGTAACTTTTATAAGTCTTGCCAATTTCCTGGAATAATCCACCCAGTGGGTAGGGTTTGAAAGCATGATGAGAGCTCCAGGGAGAGCTGGCCAAGTTCTCCATAAGAACAAGCAGGACAACTGTGTCTCAAGTTCCCACAAATCAAACTCTGTGGTCAGCTACAAACTCCTCTTTACATTTACTTGTGATATTCAAAGACTGCATGTAAAAGTGAATAGTGGAAATTTATTCTGTCTTAATATAATCCATCCCTTTTTTTGTGCAGCTATTTCCTCGCTGCTCTCTGAGGGTGAGCTGAGCATGTTCCAAACTCATCTGCTAAGGACCCTGGAGTCACCCTCCACAACCCTCAATGGTCCCAGTCCACCAGACAGGCAGAAATCTGTGCTGTGTGTCCCTTTAAGCCACACAGACCTGCCTGAACCCAAATGTCTCCAAATTTCCAAGACTCTGACCATTCTCTGAGCAGTCTCCCCTAACCAGGATCAGGGGCTGATTTGAGAGCTGCTGCACTGACCCAAAACCACTGCACAGCACTGAGCATGGCTCCCTGTGTCCAGTGTTCCCTGAAGAGCAAATGGTCCCCAAATCTTATTTACTTACCATACAGTAAAACACCATGGCACCAGCTCCTGTGTTTATAGTGGAAATGCAATGCAGTAATTTTGGTGGATTTTTCTCTTCAAAACAAAAGAAGAATCTTGGGTATGCACAGTTTACATCATGGGGTGTTGCAGCTTGCAGGGGAATTATTAGTTAAGGCAGTCTGCTGGCCAAAGGGCCTAGATTATTATTATCATTATGATGATTATTATTAATTATCATGATGATGATGATGATTATTAGAATAGGTTTTGTTCATAGGGAAAAAGTTCACAGTAAAGTGAGAGGAAACCAGAGAAGGATGATTAGTTGATACTGTCCTGGAAAACTCATCCCCAGAGGGAAAACCATACTTGTGTTGTTGACTGAACCGAGTTTCCTGAAATATTTGTTTTAAGACAAACAGGAATTGGTCCTAAAGCCCCAAAAGAACAAACTACTTAAGAATTTACTTAATTTTAAGCACTTAAGGAGCTTCATCCCTATTTATTTCAGCAGGATTACCCATGTTCTTGAAGCGGAGCACAAGCTTAAGTACTTTGCTGAAGAATCAACCCTCACTTATAGGTGCCTTATTTGTTTTCACATCTCTAGTTTCCCTATGACATATAAATCAGTGCTTTATGAGTTACCTGATCTTGTATGGAGGTAGCTTGGGGCTTCTCTTCTGGCAGCTTTTCCTTTTTAGCTTCCACTTTTTCTTCCTCCTTTGTTTTTGGGTTTTCAATAATTTGTTTATTTTTTAACAAAAACCCATTGCATCTGTTTGCATTTTTTGTTTCTCCACGCTGTGTTCATGTACCAATCCAGTGTGCAGCCACCATTCCATCAAGTGCTGCTGTGCCCACACCTCTGTGTGCAGCTGTGTCCCCTCCACCCTCTCCAAATCCTCCCAGTTTCCCCCCTTTGGGCCTTTCTCCCTGCTGTGGCATCATGCTTACATGTCCCAATACAGAGCCCTTTCTTGTGATTGCATTTAGCACACAGCATTCCTCACACACTTCAACAGGTGCTCATAATATTTTCTGCCAAGATGTGTCTGCCTCCACCTCATGGGTTACTGCATTAGGCCAGTTTTCATAGCAGCTGAGGGGGAAAAAAGGCAGCAAAAGCACATGCAGAGGTCTGAACATGCAAGGTTTTCTCTGAATGATGGGGTGAGGTCAGGCCTGTTGTGCACTAAATTATTGGTAAGCTGGAGGGGATTTATTTTTAAAAATAGAGAGCAACAGCACAAGTGTTAGTAACTTCATACAGGACTAGATCTGTGACGAAATTCCAATTCAATCTTTTCTTGCATTACATTTCACACAAACCACAGGTGTCTTATTTTGGTGCAAAATGCTTACTGTACCTGCTTTTTTAAGGCAGCTGCTTGACGTTTTTCTTCTTCTATTTTCTGTTCTTCCATCTTTTGTTTTTCCTTTAATTTCTCTGCCTCTAGCTTAGCCTTTTCCTCAGCTGCCCTCTTTTCCTCTTCTGCCTTTGCCCTTTCCTCAGCTGCCCTCCTTTCCTCCTCTGCTTTCTGTTTTTCCTCAGCTGCCCTCCTCTCCTCTTCAGCTTTAGCCCTCTCCCTTTCCTCAGCTGCCCTCCTCTCCTCCTCTGCCTTTGCCCTCTCCTCAGCTGCCCTCTTTTCTTCCTCTGCTCTCTGTTTTTCCTCAGCTGCCCTCTTTTCTTCTTCTGCTTTTAACCTCTCCCTTTCTTCTGCTTCCTTCCTTTCCTGTTCGGCCTTTTCCTCATCCGCTACACTTTGTGTCCCTTCTGGCACAGCATTTGTATCATTCTCTGCTTTGTGTTCCTCTGCATTTACAGTTACTGCCTCTTCTTTATCAGCGGGTTTTTCTGCTGTCACATCTACCTGATTTTCCTCCTCCTTTGGTTTCTCCTCCTCCTTGTCTTTTTCTTCTTTTTTCCCCTCTTCTTCCCCATCTTGCCTCCAGTTGTTCCTCTGGTAGGATTTGGTAACTGTTTCAGTCTCCTCTTTCCCCGTGGTCGCGTTTTCTTCCACGTTGTTCACTTCTCTCCTGCTGGGCGCTGACAAGCTCCCGTCTGTGATCGTGGGGTCCAATTCCTTCTGCCGTTCCAGGGCCTCCTGCAGGCGTTTCTGGCGCCTCTCCTCCCGCCTCGCCAGCCTCTCCAGCAACGCGGCTTCATCGTCCAAGGAGCGCTTGCTTTCCTCTCCTGCCACGCTGGGCGAAAGGGACAGGCTTAAATTTAAAAAAAAAACCACCAAAAAAAATTCTTTCTAACAACATATGCACTTCACTCTTTGTGACGGTGTTCACAGGGGTCTTAGGATGAGGGAAGAGACGTAGATCTGATTCCATGTTACAGAAGGCTTGATTTATTATTTTATGATACATATTACATTAAAACTAGACTAAAAAGAATAGAAGGAAAAGTTTCATCTTAGAAGACTAGCTAAGCTAAGAATAGAAAAACAAGAAAGATAACAAAGGCAGCTGGCTCAGACTCTCTGTCCGAGCCAGCTGGGCTGTGATTGGCCATTAATTAAAAACAACCACATGAGACCAATCCCAGATGCACCTGTTGCATTCCACAGCAGCAGATAATCATTGTTTACATTTTGTTCCTGAGGCCTCTCAGCTTCTCAGGAGGAAAAAATCTTAAGGAAAGGTTGCACACTTCAAAATTTAGCTGCTGTTTTACTATCTATATTCATTCTCCTTGCCTTAAACTAATTGCATCTTGTGCTCAGGATCTATTAGCACTTGCCATCACAATTTTGGTTTTTTCTATCAATTGTGTTATGGCCATTGGAAATCTGGGTATATTGTTTATATTATTGTTTATGTGAAACTAAACAAATGATGGATGGATAGGAAGGCCAGCTCTGGACAGACAAGGTGGCCACTCAGCTTTGTGACAAGTGGGTGGTGAAAGCAGTGATATGGTGTAATGCTTTAGGGGCTGCTGGGTTGATGGTTGGATTTGATGATCCTAAAGGTCTCTTCCAACTTGGATGATCCTACGATTTCAAGTGTCACCTCCTTCCATGAACTTTTCTGCTCTTTACACCTGCCTGACCCTGACAATGCCAGGTGAGTGCTGTGCTCTGGAGCTCACACCCAGCACTTTGCAGGAGTGTTGCAGCCACAGCTTGAGGACTGGGTGGCCCCATGGTGCCATGACCCCTCTGAGCAGAACCAGAGATGTGGTGTTTTGTGAGGCCAGATGCACACACATCTGAGAGAAGCTGAGAGCCTCCATGAGCTGGAGGCTGGCTGAATTACCCCACAGACAGCCTTGAGGACACCTGGATAAATGCCATGAATCAGATGTGTGATGCTCCCACCCCACCACGTAGACACAGGCAGGCTGATCCTCACTGTGTGAGGTCCTTCTCCAGTTCAAGGATGGCCAAACCCAGCACTTCAAACTCAAGCACTACAGCAAACCTCTTCCAGGCACTTCTCTACTCTGCACAAAAACTGCCATTGGCTTGTCAGTAAACAACATCAGAATTTACCTGTTCTGGGCATTGACCTCAGATTTCTCTGTGGCTTCTCCTGAGACATCTCCTTCCTCCTTTTGCCTCAGCCTCTCCTGCCGAGCCCGCCGGCGCCGTTCCCTGGCAGCCTCCTCATCATCATCATCGTTCCTCTGGTAGGACAGCCTGCAACAGGGAAACATTGGTGCTATGGCATATTGGACACTGAAAAAAGTCACAGAAAGCAGTTTTCTTGGGCAAAGTAAGTGTGGCTACAGTGGCTGCTCCACATGCTGTTGTGAAAATATTCTGTGAAATTGAGATGCATCGTTTCTAACCCTGGTTTTCTTTTCTTTCTCAGAAGAGAACTTGAGAAACTAGTCCCTGTGAAGGCAGCAGCCACACCACACTGGCTGCTAGAAAACACCAAATCCATAAAAGCCCAGCTCTGTAGCTGAGCAAACATCTTCCTAGCCTGCACCACGATCCTGTTGGAGCACTCACAGGATTTGAGCAGACTTGATCAAGCCCACATAACTGAAAGTGGACTCAGCAAAGCAGATTTTCATTAGTCTCCTCTAAACATCACATGCTGAAAACAGTGACAGAATTACACATTTTAAAGACTAGAAAGCAGGGAGACACAAGTATGACAGCAGTGGTTGGCTCTGAGTGCCAAACATCTGACACCCACAAAATGTTTGTGAGCCCGGAGCCCTGCCAGGCCAAATCACACAAGATCTGTGCTGTCATGAAAGCCTACAGCTGAGAACCCATTGTATTCATCTGCCTCAACAGATGATTACATTTAGTTTCATCCTGCTTGAAAAGGAAAGCAAGACCTTAAAATCCTAATAATCCTATGTCCCATTCAAATCTTTGCTGAGGTTATTACTGTGAGAGATAAAGGGAGAGGCCTGCATTCCTCTTATCTTTTAGAGCAGGGAAAGTGAATTAGGAAGCTAACATGTGCCAGACCCAGTCAGGACATTCATTTACTTTGCTTCTGGCAGAGGTCTGACACATCATGGTTAAGAAGCCTCCCCTCTTTACATAGTCACGTATTTAAGTTAGCAGTGCAGCCATGTACACAGAAAAATGCCAGAGTTCTGCACTTACTAAAACCAAGTACAGGTATGTTAGTTTTGCAAACATTTAAACATTAAAAGCAACTAAATTTTGATTTAGCCATCAATCAGACTGTTTGGGGCCAAACCTCTCCCATCACCATGTTCTGGTACTACTTTTCTCCATTGCTGAAAGAAGGGTGAAAGTATAGATTCAGCAGGGACACAGTAACTCCAATTTTGCTTTAAGAATTCAAAGTGCAAAACATGGCTGAGCCACTTGCCAGACCTAGAACAGCATATTCATCCTCAGTGCACCAAAGAGTTTCATTTGCTATTTTCATGCTCTGCTTTAAGAGGTTTTTCTTTATAGAAACAACTCTTCTCAAAGAGAGAGCAAACCATGAGCAGCATGGCCATGAGGGAACACAGTGGGGGATGAGGAACAAAGGAAGGAGCTGAATTAAAAGCACTAAAGGTGTGATACAGTAAAGGCAAGGAAAAGCAATTCCTGCCATTTGTAAGCAACTTCAAGGGTTTATCAACATTTCATTTAGGTCTGGAACAGAAAGAATATGAATACAATAATAAACCAGTGGGGTCTTTAATTTCCACAGGAAGCAGACTCTGGAATAAAACTGCAATAGCAAACTGACCAGACACCCCCTTCATTAGTAAGACGTTCTGGCTGCAAGAAGCCTGTGATCTTTTCAGCTGTGAAGTCCAGCTGTAAGGGCACAGGAGAGGACACACTGCTCCCAGCCTGGGGCAGCTGGACAATGGCCACAACTGAGTCAACACCCAGTGTCTACAGCTCAGGATTTGTCTTTGCAGTGAGACCACACAAAGATGAAGAAGTTTATTCCCCTCTCTGTACCCACACAGAGCACTCCTACACAGCAAGGAGAACAACTGCTTCTAAAAGCCTCTTTAAAATGCCTTATTTAAACCACCAGTGGCTCAGCAAACTAAAAAAGGAAACAAAAAGAATACCCTAAGCAAAAATTCCCACAAAATCTTATCTATTAAACAGATATGTACTTCCTGTCCTTGGACACTTATCACATAGATCATCTGTTAAGAAAGCTGAAAATTTCTCTTAGTATGATTCTAAACACCATCCATTGCCATGCTACATAACACAGCAGTTTCCTACAGTGAGCAAGCACACCAGGTACTCTTCATGAGAATCACCTTAAATATTCATTTCTGCTCACCAGCAATCATGCAATCTGCTCAGTAACCAGGAAACACTCATAAGGTACAACTAATTGCAGGGTTTTTTAGGAGATGTGTTCCTTGTTTTCCTTACAATTGCGTTAACACTGCTTTCAGTGTAAGGGGTGACCCTCATTCTCCCACTGCAACAGATCTCTGTAGCACCCTACCATGAGCAAAATCAATTTGGGAGCTCTTCAGAGCTTATCTTCTAATTGCCTACATCTTTTGACATCCTTCAGCAATAGTAAATAAATAATGAAAAGTATGTATTCAAGATTTCAGCTCTCTTTATCAGACAGATGGAAATCTGATGGTCCGCACTGGCCTGTGCTGTTCCTCCACCCTTGGAGAGCAGCCTTGCTGCCCAGCACACACCCAACAACTCAATTATACTGAACTTACATCCATTTGTGGCTTTGCAGGCAAATATCCCTCCACAAGAAGCAGTTCCAGCTGTCTCAGGCAGTGAGACCACAGCACAGCATGATCTCCAAGAGGTGTGCCAAGCCTGCTGATAACACTCTCTTGTGGAATATTCAGAGCACAGAATATTCTGAGCTGGAGGGGACCCACAAGGAACATCAAGTGCAGCTCTCAAGGACTGAAATCCCAGACCTGAAGAACTCAACAACAAATCTCAGTAACATATAAGTCTAAAAATGTTGCCCTCAGACTGAATAGGGGGGACTTAGAGTGAAACATAAATCTGCTGGATTGGGAACACCGGAGATGTGGCCATCTGCTTCAGACCTTTTTCAGAGAAATACAGCACTCCGCATTTTACACCAAACACTGAATTTATATAAAGTTATAACCCAGCAAGAAACTTGGTAATAGCTGGGAGGATCACGGGGCTGAAACCATTGTATACAAGCCAGATTTAACTGGTTTCCACTTGAAACCTCAAATCAGCCCGAGCATTATCTAAGGCACTTGGGGTTTGGAGTTCCTTGCTCAGTACTAGTACATTATTATTATTTCCTGAATTATGACAGTACTGAAATTTCCTGATCAAGATCATGGGCCTCTACACTAGGCAATTTATGAAGATTGGGCAAATTCTGGTCCCCATTCTAAAGAGTGTGCATTCTGATTAAAGAGAAACCTTATAATTTGTAGCACAATCTGCCCTCAGTGAGTCAAAAATAAACTTGATGAACTTAAATTCTTTTATTCATTTTTCACAGGAGTAGAAAAAAAACCTGCCTAATTTGAGCTGGATCCCACTACTCCATTCTAGAGGAGGCAGGGAGAAAGAATTGCTGTGGATCTGAACTCTGACTCCATTTCAAGAGTCAGAAATACATGAAAAAATTCCAAACAGAACAAAAGCCTTTAAGATTTTTAAGCAGTTCATATCTGCCTCTTCTTCCCTCCATGGTTTACTCAAATGTCAGTCTGGTTTTTATGCCTACAGAACCACCTTGCATCCTCTCAGCAGTGCCCTCACAACAGGGACTCAATTAGACACAATTGCACCTATTCAGCAAGCTCTTTCCCACACTACTTTGTTATCCTGGAGCTTTTACATGTACTACAGATTGATTTTGCCTGTGGTCCACCCCAAGAAATGAGATTATCCATCCTGTACCAAACTGCTGCACCTCCAGCTTGCTACCTAACCTACTTCTAAGACCTCTGCCCTTTATTACGTAGGACCACGGCAGCTGAGGTGATATCTGCTGATTTGTGGCTCCAAATTTATGTCAGATGGAGGATGTCAGTAAAATGTCCTCTATGACAGATTTCACTGCCAGACTCAGCCCATAAAAGCTGAATTTGTTGGCCTTCTGTGCTCTTAGAAAGTCTTTCTATTTACCCAGGCTCTTCCTGAAAGGATGGGTGGGGTGAGGATGGACTTTGTTAAAAAACCCACTGGGGAGAGCTCTTTGTGTCACTGTTGACATTCAGCCCCGTTTTATTTATGATGAAATATGTTTTTAGTCTTTTTATTGTTTGCCTAATTTGTGTTATGATAGGGACGCTTCAAAACCTGAATATAAACAACAGATCAATCTTCACCTCAAAATAAAAAATAAAACCATAACAAGGGCACATGCTTCCACAGAGGGCTGTGCCTGTCTCTTTCAGACTCTGCGTGTCAATCTCAGCTGCATTTCATTCAAGTCATAACTAAAAATGTGCTGAATGGTGGGGGGCAGTTGTGGGGAAAACTATTTTTTCTAATCATTCCTCCATCATTCAGTGAGAGCTGCCAGCATTCTGCTCAGACCTGCTCAAGAAGATTCATTTTTTTATGGGGGAATGAGCAGAATTTCAGTCCAAAATGTTCATGCTTCAAAAAGATGTAGTGAGTGAAAACAGGAGATTATGGTGGAGACATGCAGACATACCACCACAGTTCTCAGTCCAATGTTGTGCATGAATGATGCTATTAACACCCATATTTTTCACATATTTCTCAATTTGACATGCACCATTTTTTTTTTCCACATTGAATGTAGGAGAGACAAGTGGATAAAATTAACCAATGGCTGGGAATGAAACCCAGACAAATTAAAACTGGAAATTAAGCACATGTTTCAAACAGTGAGGATAATTACACACACAAGAAATGATGGAACATCCATCTCTTGCATCTCTGCATTAAGATGGATGCCTTTTTGGAAGTTATACTACAAAAGAATACTGATTTTTGGGTTCATTGTAGATAGCTTGGTGAAATTCCACGAACACTTATGTATAGAAAGTTAGACTAGATTATATAGTGGAACATGTTGGACTTAAACACTACAGCCTTCCATTTACAAACACTACATGTTTCTCATTTTGCCCACAATTTATCTCTGTCTCAGAAATATTTTTACTTTGTTTATCCATCCATTCTCCACAAGTACACAGTCTGTTCTTCTGAGTAGGCAAATTACCCAGATATGC